AGGATAATAATTCAGTAAAAATGGAAAATAGACAGCTAAAATTCTCTCAGGTCTAAAAACCACTAATAATTGTTCATGTAATATAATCTTAAAAAGAGGAGGACGTGGAACTTTTTAATGACCAAATTGACAAGCAATGTCTGTGTTTTGGTGTACCTCATCTTAAACAACCATATGCCCCCCAAATTACACTGAGTAATTACTTTAGGGGTTTTATCGACCTTTTACTCTGGACTAGTTGCCACTGCCACTTTCCCGCGTCATGCTCCTCCCTCAGTCTAGAAGGCCTGAATTTCAGATTTCTACTTTCTTCCTCTTTGCCAGAGAAAAGTCTAAACACAGTGTCACATACTTTTTGATGGTATTGATCTTGATTTTTCTAGACACTCGCACCCCCCACATCTAAGTGCTGGCTGGTTTGCAGAAGTCCCTTCCTCCATCCTTCCTGCATTTCCAGAATTGGTTCCACGGGATTAAACAAACTCTTAATCTTCACTGGACAGCCAGCTGGCTACACCAAAGGTGATCCTTACACAAAACAACAAGAGGATGGTATCACTGAATGACTGCTTTGAGCATATTAATTTCCAAATGTCTTTTGTTTACCAAACACAATGTGAAAAACAAGGGTATCCATCTACTCTGTAGTGCTGTAACAAAATGCTACATGCTGGGTGGCTTAAACAACAGAAATTTATTTTCTCACGGTTCTGAAGGGTGGAAGTCCAACATCACGGTGCCAGCAGGGTTGGTATCCCGTGAGGGCTCTCTCCTTGAGGTGCAGACGGCCACCTTCTCACCATGTGCTCACATGACCTCTCCTCTGTGTAAGCACGTAGAGAGAGAGAGGGAGAGATCTTCCTCTTTTTTTTCCTTTTTATTGAATTTCTTGGGGTGATACTGGTTAACAAAATTACATAGGTTTCAGGTGCACAATTCTACAACACATCATCTGTACACTGTATTGTATATTCACCACCCCAAGTCAAGTCTTCATCCATCACCATTTGTCCCATTATACCTTCCTCCACCTCCCCTCATCCCCCCTCTCCCTGGCAATCAC